ATATGTTGTTTCATGGGGTGTCTGGGTGACTCATTCAGTTGAGCATCTGCCTCTTGATTTCGGCTAAGGTCTTGATCTCCCAGCTTGTGGGATCAAAGCCCATGTCAGGCTCTTTGCTAACAATGCAGAGCCTGCTTGGGATTCTCTCCCTCTCTCTCTGCCCCTCCTCCACTAGGGCTCCCTCTCTGAAAAATAAAATTAAAAAAAACAAACGTTTCATGACATTTTGTGTTTAAATACATTGGCTACAGTATTGGTACACAGACATAAATAAACTTACTGTATTGGGGATACTTGAACAACCTTTGGCCGTGGTTGCTTAAATGCTTTAAAATGTCTGCTTTTTCATATGTAAGTGGGATGTGAAAATACCCATCTCAGAGTTGTAAGCATGAGGTGAAATAGAACATTTAAATTTTTTTAAAAAATGTTTATTTTTGAGAGTGAGTGTGTGTGTGTGTGTGTGTGAGTGAGAGAGAGAGAGAGAGCAGGGGAGAGGCAGAGAGAGAGGGAGACACAGAATCCGAAGCAGGCTCCAGGCCTCAGGCTCCAAGCTGTCAGCAGAGAGCCGATGCCAGGTTTAAACCTACAAACTGTGAGATCGTGACCTGAGCCAAAATTAGACACATCCGACTGAGCCACCCAGGTGCCCCTCTCTAAATAGAATATTTAAAACATATAAAGATAGTGCTGGCATTTGGTAAGCATCCAATATATTAGTACTGTTACCTATAATGGGTGAATGAGTGGGTTTTCTTATGCTCTCTTTCCATATTGCTGTTACTTTTCAGTACTGCTGTATGCCATGTAGCTATCAAGGGCAGTCCATGGCTGCTGATAAACTAAAATCTATGAAGTGAGATTCAGTTTTCTATGCGTATCTTTCAATTTAAGTGAAAGTATTTAGGAACACTTGTTGGCCCAGTTCAATGGTCTCTAGGGGCAGCTAGCTCCCAGCTCTAAACAAATATTCCTTTTATGGCTTTCTTTTTGTATGTGTACAGCTACCATTTATCATGCGAAAATCTTACTAGCTGGTGGTTTGTTTATATGATGTGGCCTACCCTGGGCCCGCTGAATGAAGGAATGAAGAACGTTGGATTGCATCCAAATTGTATTTCAAGGGTATACTTTTTTTTTTTTTTTTTAGCATTCTTTTTTTTTTTTTTATGTTTTATTTATTTCTAGTAGAGAGAGAGAGACAGCGTGAGCAGGGGAGGGCCAGAGAGAGAGGGAGTCACAGACTGAAACAGGCTCCAGGCTCTGAGCTGGCAGTCAGCACAGAGCCCGACGCGGGGCTCGAACCCACGAACCGCGAGATCATGACCTAAGCGAAAGTCGGACGCTCAACCGACTAAGCCACCCAGGCGCCCCTCAAGGGTATACTTTTGAAGAAAAAATGTTGAGACCTAAGTTAAAGAGCGTGACATTTAAAGACATTCTCTTGCTTGTGAAGTGATGATAAATGGCTCTGCTCTTGAAAAAGCCTCTGCATTCAGGACTAGTTAAACCATGTTTTATCTGTGTGTACTTTAGTAGCTCATAATTTCTGAGATGATTCTCAAAATAATGGATCAGCATTTAACATATTTTGATTATCTGTTTGAATTTTTGCCTACCTCACCAGAATGTAAACCCCCTGAGGTCAGAGACCATACTAGTCCTATATCCCCAGGACCTTGCATTCAGTAAGTATATGTTGAGTTGACTAGTTGCTTATTCGCAGTCATATAGCTAATAAGCGGCATACCTGGGATTTGACTCCACATCTGTTGGGGTGCCTGGGTGGCTCAGTCAGTTAAGTGGCTGACTCTTGATTTTGGCTCAGGATATGATCACAGGGTCGTAGGACTGAGTTCCACATCTGGCTCCATGCTGAGTATGGAGCCTGCTTAAGATTCTCTCTCCCCCTCTGTTCCTCTCCGTGGCTCGCTTGCTGTCTAAAAAAACCACAAAATGTTAAAATAAATCTACATGTATCTTTACACATTAGCTTAACTTCATCCCTTATCCCTGTAAGGAGGACATTGTTTTTATTTCACACAAACGGCAACTTCTGGGAAGAGCAGTGACTTGCCCAAGGTACTATTGGAGACAGATGGCAGAAAGGCGTTCAAACCCAGGAATGTCTGACTTCATCTGTTATTCTGGGGGAGAAGGGCAGACAGAATCGTAAGTAGGCTCTCCACTCATCGCAGAGCTTTATCTTGTGACTCTGGGCTCAGGGGAAATTGAGATTCAGACACTCAACCAACTGAGCCACCCAGGCACCCCGAAAGTTTGTTTTTTAAGTGGTTTTATGTACAAATGCCATTTTAGACAAAAATGTAGAGTTAGGGATCTGGAAGGATCATGATATGGTATGGGAGTGCTACAGTGCATTCTCAAATTCCACTTCAAGGATAAAAAAGAGGACTTGAGTACAGAAGACTTGTTTAATGTTTTCTGGAAAGCTTCTTAATATGTCCTCAAATCTGTACTTTTTTTTAAAAAAATGTTTATTTTTCAGAGCATGAGTGAGGGAGGGGCAGAGAGAGGAAGACACAGATCCGAAGCAGGCTCCAGGCCCCAAGCTGTCAGTCCGGAGCCTGACACTAAACTAGAACTCACAGTGAGATCATCACCCAAGCTGAAGTCGGACACTTAACCAACTGAGCCACCGAGGTGCCCCTGTACATATTTTTTTAAATATAACAATGTTTATTGATAGATATATAAAATCAGGGCATGAACGTGATTTGATAAATTAAGTAAACTTAATTTCAATACTATAATAAGAGGGACCAATTCAAATTCTCATCATTTGTTTCATGTGTACATTTTTTTTTAAGTAGGCTTTATCCAGAACGCAGAGTCCAACATGGGGCTTGAACTCTTGACAGTGAGATCAAGACTTGAGCTGAAATCAAGACTGGGAGGTTTAGGGGGCTGGGTGGCTTAGTCAGTTAAGCGTCTGACTTTGGCTCAGGTCATGGTCCCACAGTTCTTGGGTTCGACTTCCGCAATGGGCTCTTTGCTCACAGCTCAGAGCCTGGAGCCTGCTTCAGCTTCTGTGTCTCCCTCTTTCTGCCCCCTTCCCTCTCTCACACTCTTTCTCTCTCAAAAATAAAAAACAAAACATTTAAAATTTTTTTTAAAGGAGTGGGAGGTTTCACTGAACGACCCAGTCATTCTTCATATTTTAGCTGTCTTCTTCGTTGATATTTTCCTTTTACATATCAGTATATTATACTGATATTATACCTGTATAATAAGTCTTGTTTTCTAGTATTTTATAGAAGTAATGAGATTGTTTAGAATATTGTTATGTAACTATGCCTGCCAGAAAATGAATGGGGTGTAGCCTATTTTATGTATTATATTTGGTTTTTACCCTCCCTTGTATGTTCATCCAGGAAAGTTGTTTCCCCTTCTGTCTTTCCTACTGGCATCAGCCCGTGGCCAAGTACTGTGGTCAAGGTCGAACTCCATGCAGAGAATTACCTCCTCAAACAGTCTTCATTGCACTGGCAAAACCAACAAGCACAGGCACCTGAGTGGCTCAGTTGGTTGAGCATCCGACTTCAGCTCAGGTCATGAACTCAGTTTGTTGAGTTCAAGCCTCACATCAGGCTCACCAACATCAGCCCGTCAGCACAGAGCCGGTTTCAGATCCTCTGTCCCCCTCTATCTGCCCTTCTCCGCTTGTGCTTTCCCCCCAAAATAAATAAATTTAAAAAAAAAAAAAACAGCACCTCTAGTCTTTTTGCACTGCCTAATAAAGTCTTCTCAGCAGCCTTTGTTTCTGGATCCTCTCCTAACATACTCAAGTTCACAGCAAGAACAACTAGGGAAATAAATTAATCGCTTCTGCTAAGTGCCTTGAATGGGGGTGACTGATCTACCAGAAATTTCTGGTAAGTAACTACAGTAACTACATAAAGTGGGGGGGGGGGGGGGGGTTTTGAAAGCAAACTACTTGTCCTTGTCCCTGTGATAGTGGGATGAAGAATACGGCAATTCTGAAGTCTTGAGTGTAAAAAACTTTTACATTATAGGATGTTCCACAAAATGCTTTTCATGGTCACATAGCCCTAGGTCTGAGGCCCCAAACACCTCAACTTATTTGAATATTTCCCATTTTGGTAGCACTTGGAGGTCTCATCCTACCCGTCCACAAGCAGCGAAAGGGCAGAAGCTGAGCCCTTGTAACATGCTTTCAACAGTACTTAACACAATTAGGCATTCATCTTTTTGCCAACATTGATTAAAAGCACCCTTTCTGGGGTTGCCTGGGTGCTCAGTGGGTTGGGCGTCCAACTTCGGCTGAGGTCATTATCTCACGGTTCGAGCCCCGCGTCGGGCTCTGTGCTGACAGCTAGCTCAGTGCCTGGAGCGTTTCTGATTCTGTGTCTCCCTCTCTCTCTGACCCTCCACTGCTCAAGCTGTTTCTGTCTCTCAGAAATAAATAAAACAAATTTTTTTCTAACAGGCACGCTTTCTGGAACAAGACAGCAGAGTTCAAATCCTGACCCCATCACTTAGTCCTTTAATCTGAGAAATGGGGTCAAGTAGTAGTTCCAACATCTACTTGGAATCGGGATAAAAAATATCCCGTAAGTTGGGGCGCCTGGGTGGCTTAGTTGGTTAAGCGTCCGACTTTCGCTTAGGTCATGATCTCACGGTTCGTGGGTTCGAGCCCCGCGTCGGGCTCTGTGCTGACTGCCAGCTCAGAGCCTGGAGCCTGTTTCGGAGTCTGTGACTCCCTCTCTCTCTGACCCTCCCCTGCTCACGCTGTCTCCCTCTCTCTCCTAGAAATAAATAAAACATTAAAAAAAAAATCAATCCCGTAAGGAAGTTAAATCCCTCCCTGTGGGTTTCCAGCTCAACGGTAGGTCGCGGCCTGCACCGCAGCGTTGCGCGGGCCTAAGCCCCGCCTCTTGCCCGTCCCCACGGCGCGCAAGCGCAGCCTGGCTCCACCGGCTACTTTCTCCAAGCCTGCGTGCTGGTCGTCGGCGGGAGACTGGGTCTCGCGATGTGCGTGTGCGTGTGCGTGTGCGTGCGCGATCCTTGCGAGCTCGCGCACGCTTCCCCTCGCAGTACAGGGCTGTGGCGGCCTCTTCCTCCTGCGTTTGGGGCAGGAGCCGGAGTGGTGGCTGCGGCGGGAGCTGGAAGCCAGCGTCCACTTCGCCGCCACCGCCCACGCAGTCTGCCCCTCTGACTTGGGCTCTTCGCGTAGTGCAGAGGCGGCGGGCTAGGAAGGGAGCGGCGCCGGCGTGAGGTTCCCCGCTGATGGGCAACCCCTGGGCGCGCTGAGGGGCCGGGCTACCAGCGACTGAGGTAGGTGGGCGCGCGGGGGTTTGCCAGTCTGGCTCGGAGCCGAATCTGGGTGGCGGGAGCTCGTGGAGGCGGCAAGGAGGCGGCCAGTACGGGGGCCTCGCCTGCGGGTGCGAAGAGGTCTCCGACCCTCGTCTGAGGAGGGGCTCTGGCCTAGCCCGAAGCGAGAGGAGGGGCCCCGGACGTAGTCTGCTCGTCCCTCGGCGTGGAGCCATTATTGGGGGAAATGCCTCCTGCGGCGGGGGGGGAGGGGTCACCCTTTCTTTTCTTTGAGAGGTCGGAATTAGCGGTCCTTCCTGTCCTCCTTTAAATTGAAGTCGGCCGGCTTCGAGATGGACATCTAGATGCAGTGGCCTGTGGACTTCTGCAGCTTGCGGAACTCCCAAGTGCACGGACAGCGGGCTGGGAATTTTGATTATCGGAGGGCTCAGGACTCTTTCTCTAGTGTGGACTTGTATCTTCTGCAAAGTTGTTATTGCTAATACGTTAATAATCGCTTTCGGGCACAACTGGTAATACATTTCTAAACGTCTTGAGTCAGATAAGGATTCTGGCACCGGGAAAACTGCGCTGTTGGGCACAAATAAGGGTTAGAAAGAAGACAAAGAAGGCCGTTATATATGATCTGTCCTAGTATCAAAACTTTCCGTGGTGGGACAGGATGCATGGCTTTGGCATTTGTTTTGGCTGTAGCTGAATAGACCTTCTGAGTGATGCGGGTCACAAATGGACTTTAATTTAGAATTACAAAAAACATAAAAGAGTCCATGTAATTGTTACAACCCAAATGACCTGAAATAGATCTCCGAGAATTATGTGATGTTTCATATTTGGAAGAGAGCATAACTTGGATTTCTTAAAAGGAAGATTTTCTCCATGTTTAGAAAGCTTCACTAAAGCTTTGGGAAGCTACTAAAAATAGAGTTCTTTATGTTGGCAGTAATGACTGCCACATTCAAGGGAAGGGAAAGGAATTCTTTCATAAAGAACTGCTCACCCAAGGACTTTTGGGTTTAAACACAGTAAAACAACTTCAAGATAGCAAGTTTTACTGTGTGCTTTAAAAATTGTATTTTAGGTACATTTAAAATACACAGAAGCTCGTAGTTGACTCCCTTATATTCAGTGAACCATTTTAAAAAATAATTAACCTTGGATAGTCTACACATTCTGTTGTGTTATTGTTGGCTTTCATTCAGTCCAAACTTCTGTTGAAGTTTTCTAGAAGAGTATTCATTCTGACTCTTTTAAGAAATGTGGCCCGCATACTTGGGAAGAGTCTTACAAGAAAGAACAGTATGGTGACAAGCCCTGAAGTCAGAGTAGGAGACATTATTAAGTGTAGGATTAATTAATGCCTGTTTATGTAAATACTGCATAAAACATGTATATCCTTTGTGTGTATGTGTGTAGATGATTATGCACACAAAGTTCTAATGCTGTTGATTCCCATCTTAAAAAGTTGAAAACAAAAGTAGAAAGGATTGGTTGTAGCTCTTTCCTTTTTAGTTCACTGTTTACATTAGTAACTGTGATAGTGAATTTCTTATCCAACTTTTTAATGATTTATTGAATAAGCAGATCACTGTACTGATTTCTTGACAGTAGCAGGGAAGGAAAATATAGAACATATAGAAGACTTGCCCTGAGAAATGTAAGGGCCTGGAACCTGCTTCAGATTCTGTGTCTCCTTCTCTCTCTGCCCCTCCCTGCTCATGCTCTGTCTCACTCTATCTTTCAAAAATAAAAAAATTTATTAAGAAAAAAGAAATGTAAGGGGCACCTGGGTGGCTCAGACAGTTAAGCGTCCGACTTTGGCTCAGGTCATGATCTCTGAGGTTCATGAGTTTGGGCCTCGTGTTCTTGGCTCTGTGTTGACAGCTCAGAGCTTGGAGCCTGCTTGGGATTCTGTCTCCCTCTCTTTCTGCCCCTCCCCCGCTAGCACACATGCTCATGCTCTCTCTCTTAAAAATATTAAAAAAAGAAAGAAAGAAATGTTAAGTCAGTGTCTTATTGTCTTTCCATTGGAATAAACAGCTTCACTCCTGTTTGTGTCTGAGCACTTAGAATAGTGTTTTGCATTGAGTTGGCTCTCAGTAAATGTGAACTGTGTCAGAAGTAAATTAACATAATACAAACCAAATGCCTAAATTCCTGGAGAAGATTAAAGGAATTGGAGAAGCATGCTTTATTTTTTTAAGTTTATTTACTTATTTTGAGAGAGAGTGCGTGTGTACAGTCAGGGGCAGAAAGATAATCCCAAGCAGGCTCCATCCCACAAACTGCATCATCATGACCCGAGCCTAAATCAAGAGTCAGATGCTTAATGGACTGAGCCGCCCAGGCGCCCCACCTTTTTTTTTTTTTTTTTTTTTAATGTTTATTTTGAGAGAGAAAGAGAGACAGTGTGGAGGTGTGCAAGGGGCAGAGAAAGAGGGAGACACAGAATCTGAAGCCGACTCCAGGCTGACAGCACAGAGCCCAACTAGGGGCTGGAACCCAAGGACCGCAGGATCATGACCTGAGCGGAAGCCGGACTCTGAACTGACTGAGCCACCCAAGCGCCCCTACAGGTCTACTTTTTAAATAGTGTATTTTTCTTCTGTGTTGATCAGTATCTGAGCAGAAGATACATGGTAGCATCTTGCCGTTAAGAGCTTAATGTAATGTAAACTGAGACTCTATATTCTGAATGCTAATATATGGTGAATGTTCATACATTAAGAGAAAGTGAAGTTAAGGGAAGTAAGGTCCAGAGGAAAGGTTTTGGTAAATCAATGATAGAAACTTAAAAGGCATGAATTGTAAAGTATTGCATTAAACTGAAGGAAAAAAAAATTTTCTTCCTTTACTGACAGCGCCACTTGTGTAAGAGAACTTGTACCTTTCTACTTGTTTTCACTAGAGCTTTCTTTTCAGCAGGGTGATTTCTGGATAATAAAATTGAAATGTGGGTGACTTTTTCTCTTAAAATCTTCAGCTCAGAGGTTTGTGCTTCTCTTTGTATATGCATGTGGTCTCTAGTCCAACTTTATTGGCAATATACTAGTATTTTGATTCTTATCTAATTCCTGTTTATATTTCTCAATTAGTTTAGAACTTGAAGGAGAAAGGAATGTGGTTAGTGCCTTCACATATGCCAACATTAGCTTTTCTTCAGATTCGGAAACAAATCTGTTTGACTGTAGATGTTCTTAACAGAAAGATTTTGTGGATTTTTGCAGAGGTAGAAGCTAAAGAGGTGAATAAAAAGTCAAACAGGAATATTTTAAAGTGGGTGTTATGTTTTCATTTTAATATACCTGGGTGATTCTCATGGTAGGGGATGGGTTTTGCCCCCCCCTCCCCCCGCCCCGGGAGTATTAGCAAGGTATGGAGAAACTGGATTGTCAAATTGGGAAAAAGAGAGTGTAGCTACTGACATCTAGTGGGAAGAGACTAAGGATGCTGCTGCTAAGTATCTTAAAGTACACAGGACCCCCCTCCCCCCGAATTATCTGACCTAAATGATAGTGTTATTATTGAAATGCCTTGATATAGTTGTATATCATTGCTAAAATTGTTGGTTCTGACGTCAGATTATCTGAATTCCTGTTTGGCTTTACCATTTCCTAATGTGTGACCTTGGCAAATAGCTAAAAATTCCTCATTTTCTGTAAAATAAAGCTGATAATAGTATGTTCCTCAGAGTAGTGGGAAGGATTAAATCAGATAATGTGCCAAGTGCCAAACTTATCACCTGGCACATAGAAAATGTTCAAAAACTCAACTTTCAGCTAATATTACTACATTTGGAACACATCTTGATGATCTCCCTTTATTTCTGAGCTGAAGTAAGAATTTGAGCTGGTGAGGTGAATTAATAACCTCTTTCTCATTATATCCTTGAAACTGAGTGAAGAATTGCTCCTTTTAATATTTGTGTTTAACTCAAATCTTGTTTTATGATCTCAAATCTATAAGACTTCTGTCATAGAGTTAGCTTCTCATTGTAGATATTCTTTCTTTCTAGTTAAGACTTTAAGCTAGCTGCTCAGTAGCTCTTTTTTATCTGTTGATTTTCAGCATATATTTTGTGATTTAACAGAATTCAGTTCTGTGACTTGATTCCCATTTCTTTCTGCCTTCATAACTGAGGTTTTGGTACGGTTTTATATGTATGGTATAGACAAACGTATAACACCTTGGGAGCTAGACCTTACTATACGCCTGTGACTCTTTCTAAATCTGAATGGAACCCATATCTTTCTTACCTTATTGAAACATAATACTTTAGTCTCTATAAACTCATTTTCTGTGTGTCTAAATGACATGGGTGTTAAAGGGGTGATTTGTTATGGTGGTGGTTATAATATATCCTTTATAAAGAGAAAAAAAAATCACAGGGATGTCCTCAAGACAAAACAGAGATTAGACTGTTAATTAGTAACAGGGCTTTTGTAAGGGAAGAAGATCCATATTTATGATCAGGGAGAAAGCAGTGTTGCACTTGAATTTTTTGTCTTGATAACTATACTTTCAAAATAGGAAGTATTTTGTTATGATTGTTACCCATATTTTTGTAGTAAAAGTCTCAATTGTGTAAATGTTGACTGATTTTAGCTAATAGAAACCTCTGTTCACCTTTTATATTAGTACTGCCTCCTGTTTGGATAGATTTGTTTGGTTGGTTGTTTTTTCGGGAATGAGGAGATAGATTAAAGGGAGTCACTACCTGAGAGATTCTGTTCTTTGTTTGACACATTGTGTTTTGTAAAGTATAGCATACACTGAGGATTATATTTCAGTAATAAATTATAATGAGGAAGTGTCCACCTTGTAGAAACTGTGGCCAAATCAGAAGAGTATATGTGAGAAATAAAATAAAAAGCTAAAGAGTGACATTCTAAGAATGTTAGGCAAATGAAAAAAAGAATCTTGTTAATAAAAGTTCTTGTGTTTGTTGTTATCCTTTTAGGGTTTCATAATCTAGAAGTAAAGAGCCAATAAAATGTAACACATTTATTCTCTACTTACCATTTTTCCATTTCCTAAGCAAAGAACATATGGCTACTAATGTATTATATTTGAGTTCAGTATTACAGGTGTCTTGTATGACATATGTCCATACCCTTGATTAATTTGAGGGAAACAAATTTATCTTTGAATCTGCTGATGTGTGTTTGTTTATAAGTGGTCTGGAGTCCTGCCTGTCAGCCTAATTTTAGGTAGCCTACATAGCTCTTGGAAGACAGACTATTTTCCCACTGAATGCTGTCATACAGGTATATATTTATATATGTGTATTTATGCACATTTGTCTTTTATTTTTGGTAGAAAATGATGCATCCTGTTGCCAGCAGTAATCCAGCCTTCTGTGGGCCTGGCAAGCCTTCCTGCCTCAATGAAGATGCCATGAGAGCTGCCGATCAGTTTGACATATATTCCTCCCAGCAAAGCAAATATAGCCACACAGTCAGCCACAAACCAATGGCTTGTCAGAGGCAAGACCCCTTAAATGAAACACACTTGCAGACTACAAGTGGCAGAAGTCTAGAGATAAAAGATGAACTAAAGAAAAAGAAAAATCTCAACCGATCTGGTAAACGTGGCCGACCTTCGGGAACCACCAAATCTGCAGGATACCGAACCAGCACAGGCAGACCCCTGGGAACCACCAAAGCAGCTGGATTTAAGACAAGTCCAGGCAGACCTTTGGGTACAACTAAAGCTGCGGGATACAAAGTCAGCCCAGGGAGACCTCCAGGTAGCATTAAAGCTCTATCCCGTCTTGCCGATCTTGGTTATGGCTGTGGCACAGCAGCTTTTCCTTACCCTATGATGCACGGGAGAGCAGTCCATGGGGTAGAGGAAACTAGTAGTGAAGTTAAGCCACCTAATGAGTGAATGAGGCAGGAAAGGAGGGCCAGGTTTAGAAGGAAGGTTGTGAATAATCCCAAAGCTTCTTGGTTTTATTTTGACATACATGATTATGTAGCCTGGGCTTTCCAAATTTGTTTTCCCGTTTGATTTGTTTTCTTGCTTTTGCTCAGAAACTGCCATATGCTCACAGATGCACTCAGGGCATGAGCAATGGCATTGTGTTTGTATATAGGTTCAAGTATAATATCTAACTAAGTCATTTTTCCTTTCCTTTACAGTTATGGTTGTGTCTCATATGTCATGACTACTTTTAGGCCATTCTACATTGATGCTTTATGTGCTAAACAACTGAAATCATTTTTCCTATTAGTTTGTGAATTAAGCCTACAATATATTAAAGATAATATCTAAGGTATTTTTAACTGATGGAACAAAGCGAACTAATGATTCAGGATTACTTGCGGTAATGGCTGTGAGTTTTCATAACATTTTTTTTCATGAGACAGGACACAGATATTTGTATGCTTTGGCATTTACACAGAGTTCAGATGTTAAAATTTTTACTTTTAATGTTCTAGGTTTAAGCAGCAGAAGCTTATTTATTTTATTTTATTGATTTAACCATTATTCCTAAAAGAATTCTTTAGTGTTTGCCTTCCAGCAGTGATATGTTGTGTATTTTTTAATTGCCTAAGAGCATATATACCAAACACTACAAACAGTTCATACTTACAGAAAAATTAAACTTTTTAATAAAAACTGCACATTACATTTTTGATGACATATAATGCATCCTGAGAATAACATATTTAATATAATAGAGAAAGAAACATTCTTAAGGTTTGCATGTAGCTGTAGTCACTACATTTTGCCTTTCATATGTTTAGTTTTAAAGCATTATACTTAAAACATTTATTAATGTTCATTTATTCAAAATGCTTTTTAGTGTTTTCCCAAGAAATTGTCCCATTGCACTTACTGTGGTTTCAGGTTTCTGTCTACCAAAGGACACAAATTGAAGGTAGAGTGTAAAACTGGTATAAACAAAATGCAATTTTCTGACTGTCAGAACCCAAATATTAAGAAATCTGTAGGAATCCATCTATGCATGAAACATGTAAAAATACTTTAGTTTAATTAAAAAATCTAATAGTGGCGTCAATGAGACCACTTCAAAAGAAAATTTTTTCCAACAATATTTGCTTTAGAAGCAAGATAGAAAAGAAAAAAAACTGTTGGGTAGGTGTGTATGGTAGGGACAGAGGGAAGTCTCTCTTCTCCCCTTACTGAAAGTAATACTCTTTTTAAATATACATTTTATTCTGAGTTTGTTCTAAATAAGATAAACAGTTATAAACTTCAGATTTGAAAAAAAAACTGAACTTTCAAGTTACAATGTATGTATTTGTGTTTTTAAATGCCTTTGAGATTATAGTGTAGATCTGCAGGACCCAAAAACTTTTAAAATCATGACAGTTTTAAAAGGGCGCATCTTTGTGTTGTTTGGGCTTGCTCTCAGTTATTGCAAACTCTGCTTGCAAATGGATGTCATGTTTCATACCTTTTTTATCAGGAAAAAAGCAGCAAGCCTTCAGGTGTTCCAGTGATGCCTGACACAATGAGCTGGACTTATGCTGCTCTTTACAGTAAGAGGTGTTGCATTGTATGTGGGGACTTGTGTGCACTGGCATCTAAGACAGTGACCTCAACAATTTTAGCTTTGCACAAACCCTAGAGAACAATAATGATGACTATAAATCAGTTCTAACATTCTGGCAGCTAAATTGCTACAAGAGTTTCTCCTTACAGAAGCTTAAAATATAAAACTTAATAATTTACTCAGAACAGTATAACTTCTGACACACACAAATGCTTACATATTTATTCCCGTGTTCATCTAATCCACTTTTGTGATAATGTATCTGTCATTTAGCTGTTTCTCAAGATGATGTTCAGCAATTGGCTGCTTAGAAATCCTCTTTTGAGTTCCTGAAAGCAGTTGTTTAAATGTTCTACCTATATATCACTGTCAAGGATTTGGTTACATGTTGTTTTATACTATGTTCATTTGACATTTCCCTTTCAGGTTACTTTTATCCCTGATTTGTTGTACATACCCTTCCCTTTCTGTCTGCTCTTTGCTTCATTCATTCCCCTGCCCTGCCTCTTGCCCCAGTCTCCAGCACATCTACTCAGTGGTGCTGTGCTGTGTGTCAGAAGATAAAGCAGGTGTATTATTGTGTAATGAATTTTGTATACATGTTAATGAAATGGTGAAAGCAACTAAAGGAATTCTGTTCATAACAGTGTTTATTAATATCAGGAGTTATGTCCCAGGAAAAAAAAGGGGCAGTTGGCTACAGTTGTGAATGGTTAACGTTGTTCGGAAAGCTGAATTTTCTGTTCAGGTAAGCATTTACCTGGAGTATTAGATCTGTCTGGTGGTGAGCATCTCCTGATTCCACTTCCTTTTCTCCTTGTGAACAGTTTATTGGTGCCATGCTGAAGAGAATGACATAGAGTGATAACATGAATGAAGTCTTAAAATATACAATATTTTTACTTCTCTATAAAGCCTACATTGTGCATCTTTTGTAACACTGTTTCTTGTCATGATAAACACTGAAATAGCATGTTAAACAATTGCCTATACTTTAATATAATCAGTTGGGGAAAACTGGCCTTTTCTTTCAACTGTGTGATTGTTCCTTGAAAGGTAAATTGCTAATTTTATATTGTATAATTCTGTTCTTCACAAAATAGGTTTCACTATTCTGTATTAAAACTGTTGGTCAGAAAATGATCTGCTATTCAAGTAAGTTTGCTTTCCTTTTTTTTGAAAAATTTTTTAACATGCCTTATTTATTATATTAACAAGTAAGCAGCTAATACAGATAAAGTTTTCATTTTTTTCAGAGATATAACCTTGCATAACTGATCTTTAGTATGGGATGATTTTGATACTATCTTTGGAGTTTTGCACTGGATATTTTAAAAATACTGGCACAATGTATTGGAAGAAAATAAGCATCTGATTAATTTTTAATATTTGGGGACATTTTTTAAACCAGTGTTCATTTAGACTAAAATATTCTTGATATTTTTTATTTACTTTTTAAGGAAATCTCTGTTAAATTAATAAAAGTAATATTCATTCCAAACTGATGTTTGTGTGAATTTACATGTAATAGTTTCATGAAGTAATAGAGTTTCTTTGAGTTAAGGAGGAAAAAACAGTTATCTGGATCCATTTATTAGATTAAAGGTGATCCAGCCAATATAAGAAAAACCAGTGTATGAGCTAAAGAAAAAAAACCTTCTCCTTTCTAGTCTAAGAAGCTTTAAAAAGAAGAATTCAGGGGATGTTGACAATAACTGCTGCTCTGTCAGTCATTGTCTCTATATGCAGTAAAAGTTTATGGTCCCTTCATAATATAAACATTCACAACAGTTCAAAACATTTTTTTCCTTGGACATAAAATATTTTGATGCTATTATAGTTTTTATTATAGCTTAACTATATGCTCTAAACTCTAGGATGTATCTAAATCTTTCCTTTGCTTTTACCTCCTCCTCCCCCCAAGTAGATATATCTGTGCTCTCACATACAATGTATTTAATTTTGGGAAAATTTAATGCTATATAGTAAATCAAGTGTGTGATTTATAGTAATCAGACCACTTTGATTCTTTAAGTTTCACAGTTCCTTTTTTCCACAGATAATTACAGAGAAAATAATTACCAATTAACTGATAAGCACGTTGTCCTCTGCTGTAAAAAGTCTGAATAGATACTGTGTATGTTTTTATGTTCATGAACTTGAGCTACTCGTGTGCAATTATGTGTATGGGAATGGAGTAGTGTTCATGATTTGTATCTACATCATCATATGGATGTATATTTATTAATAAAGTCATTACTTTAAAACCAACTCGAGCACTGAGTGTTATGTGGAAACTAATTTGACAATAAACTATTTGAAAAAAAAAAAAACAACAACAAAAAAAACCCCCAACTCTGTTTACTGCTTTATTAGCACAGTATTTGTCAAGTAGAAGAATGGTAAATGGTATACCTTTATCATGACTGTGATCTTGTATTTTCTTAGGTGTGCTTTCTGAAATCTTCCCCCCTGTGCTTTTGTTTTTCTCAAAATAGTAGTATTCATATATTTGTAATTTAAAATTCTAATTTATACATGGATCTCCTGTTCTTTGCTTTTTCTTCCCATTATTAAGCTATAGCAGGCTAATAGTTACACCAAAGGCTTATATTTAAATCTGATCTCTTTAGTTTAAAAAATGGTTGATCTTTTTTAGTTAAAAAAATTCAGGTATTAAATGTGCCTAATTTATTGTTGTTTGAATGTTAACCTTAGGGAGAACAGCATGTGCATATTTTGTAGTTGTTAAATATTGGAGATAGAAAAGGAAAACACTTTCCCCTGATTTTTGAACATAAATTTACCTTTTTTTATTTTCTTCAATGCCTGGAGATCATCTAGAATGCAAGTTGGCAAGCTGAGACCTACTGCCTCTTCTGGTAAAAAAAAAGTTTTACTGGAATAGTCATTCTCATTTGTTTACAGATTGTCTAAGGCTGCTTTTGTAATACATTGGCAGAGCCAAGTGATTGTGACATAAGGCCAGCAGAGCCTAAAATATTTACTGATTATTCCTTTACAGGAAAATTTGCTGACCCCTCATTTAGAAGGATATACTGGAGTAGAAAACAACAGGTGAAATTTGAAGTTGAATTTCAAAACTGGAGCAAATGATGGCTGTTTTTTGCTTTTGAATTGTACTAGATATTCTTCAGATCATACTTCAAAGCATTTTTTGTGTGTGCTTTTCCTCACATTGTTGAAGCACTTTGACTTCTACATGAGAATCCGATGGTGATTAGGTGTGCTGTTCCTAATCTGGGAAGAGATCTACACCATTGTAGTACTGGATTATTTGCTGTGGCTAAAGGATTACTTAGTTATTCACTATGTCTTTACCACATTTTCTGTAGGTCTCTATAGAGAGTTTTATAGTAAAAACTTATTCATTATAATTATACTTGCCAAAATTCTCATTCTCTGGGAATTGTCAGATAGCAAATCAGTGTCCTATTCAGTTGAAAAAGCCAGCCAGCTGAAATGTGTACAATGAAGAGAAGGAAGTCTCTATTTACTACCCAGAATTTATACCTTGAATATTAGTAACACACTTGTGGTTTTGATCCCATTAGTCGCCAATGGCATGTGAGAATCACAAATGACCTTTAGGAAAATAGGAATCAATTGGCATTTGATAGTTTCATAACGACATAAAAACATGAATTTTAGAATATATAAAATATTACAGTTTTGCTAAGAAAGTCCTCATAGAATGAAAGGTGTGTTGCCACTTTACATTTTTTTTCTTAGCACCCAGATTTCTTTATTCTGGGTTTATGAAGGTTTCATCATACTATCTGTCCTGTTTCAAAATGTGCATCACCAGTATCTTGTTAAGTCCATGTGAATTTTCATGCCTGATTTCTGTAAGAGCGGTTAGAGTAGCATAGATAAAGTGATTCACAAATGCCAGAGATAAGCTGTTGGCAAACAGACTACAATGTGGTCTGAAGTCACCCTTAAAGGATAGTTGCTTCAAAATTAATACCACCCATAAATGTTTTCTAAAAATCAAAACACGAAGCCCCATTGGAGTGAAAGTATAATAGGGTACAACAGTAATGGCCTTAGTATAGTACTTGACATAAATCATAAACACTACATACTTTTATTAAATCACTGCAGTTTTATTGAATGATATCAAAGGAATTGGAATACCTCTTTCACTGCTTTAAAAATTTTTTTTTAAAAAGCTTGAATCATATGGAAGTTAAACAATTTACCCAGAATTGTGCACCCAGTAAGAGGTAGAGAGCATCAACCCATGCAAGGCAGGGACTCTTAACCACTGCCATGTACTCACTATTGGAAAAAAAAATTTTTTTTTTAATTTTTAAATATGTTTTTGGGAGAGAGAGCGCCTGTGTGCCAGAGGGGAATGGGGTTGGGTGCAGAGAGAGGGAGACAAAGAATCCGAAGCAGGCTTCAGGCTCAGCTGTCCGCACAAACCCTGATGTGGGGCTTGAAACCCACAAGCTGTGAGATCGTGACCTAAGCCAAAGTTGAACAGAAGCGACTGAACCACCCAGGTGCCCTCACCATTGGAAAAAATTTTAATGGGGCTCTGCTTTTAGTAGTAGGTAGTTTTGTACTGGCACTGAGATAAATATCACTATGGAGAAACTATACATTTTGTCTCCATGCCAGTGGCTGTGAAGTCGCTTCTTAGCAAGGAGAGTGACAGGGAAAGTCAGACTTTTTTTTCTCTGTTGTCTGTTTCATTACTCTTAAAATCTTTAGTCCTTTGTGTTAGGTATTTATTTCCATATGAACTTTGCATGTTTTTTAATACATTTGTCCATTTTGTCTGGGCTGGTTTGTGACCACTAAGAAATTGGTTTGTGATACATTGTCTACGATCCATCATCCCTTTATCCTTGGGCTAGTTTTCCTTGGGGTAAGAAGTTGCATGTAGGGACACCTGGCTGGCTCAGTCATGCAACTGAGTAGCATCCATAGACTCTTAGTCTCAGGATTATTGAGTTCAAGCCCCATGTTGAGTGTGGAGCCTACTTTAAAAAAAAAAGTGTGTAGGGTAGCAGTCATCCCAATTGCTGCCTTGTAGCTCCATGTGACCTGTCACAATAGATAACAAGTTCTTTTTCCTTGTCATTTTTTGTATTTTACTTAATAGTTTTGTTAATTTGCCTCATGTAACAACATATCAATCCTTTCTCATCAAGGAACATATTTATTAGTTTTGAAAATCCCTAATTTCAGGGCACCTGGGTGGCTCAGTCCATTTAGCATCTGACTGCATTTCAACTCAGGTCATGGTCCCAGGGTCATGGGATTGATGGGACTGAGCCCCCCGTAGGACTCCATGCTCAGCTTGAGATTCTCTCCCTCTGCAGGGGCAGAGAGAGAGGGAGACACAGAATCCAAAGCAGGCTCCAGGCTCTGAGCTGCCAGCATAGAGCCCAATGTGGGGCTGGAATTCACGGACCGTGAGATCATGACCTGAGCTGAAGTTGGACGCTTAACCAACTGAGCCACCCAGGCACCCCAATTACTCAGTTTTTATTTTAGCTGGACTGAGAAGAGGGGCTTTGGAAATTCAGGCCCTTTTAATAAGTAGTGTCATTTCTCAGAGTTCTTTGACTAAACGTTGGTCACATGGCTGCATATGGTTTCAAGAGGCACTGGAAAGTGTTCCTACTTGGCAGACATGTCCAGATATGGAAGGAGATGGATTTTAGTAAGAGTATCTACAACATCCCTGTAGAAAAGGGTTGTGGGGCTAAAACTGGAGTAGAATGAAGAAGCAAAATCCTACAGATTACATGAAACCAAGCTGATTTTTTTTTAATGTTTTATTTATTTCTAGGAGAGAGAGAGCGTGAGCAGGGGAGGGTCAGAGAGAGAGGGAGTCACAGACTCTGAAACAGGCTCCAGGCTCTGAGCTGGCAGTCAGCACAGAGCCCGATGCGGGGCTCGAACCCACGAATCTCGAGATCATGACCTAAGGGAAAGTCGGACGCTTAACTGACTAAGCAACCCAGGCGCCCCCAAGCTGATGTTTTTGAAACTAAGTCATTACTAGGTGCCCCTCCCCCCTTTATTTCTTTTGAACAATTGTTACTAGTTCATTAAAGATTTGAGTGCCATCTTTGGGTCAAACACTATTATGAGTGCCCTAGACAACTGGTTTGTAGTCTTATGAAAGGTTCAGACAAGTAAACAGACAATTATACAATATGATTAATGCTATTCCTGCAGTAAATTGAGGGGGTGCTATAAGAATACCCAAAATGGGGGCACCTGGGTGGCTCAGGTGTCATGATCTCACCGTTTGTGGGCTTGAGCCCCAAGTTGGGCTCTATGCTGACAGCTTGGAGCCTGGAGCCTGCTTCAATTCTGTGTCTCCCTCTCTCTCTGCCCCTCTCCCACTCATGCTCTTGTCTCTCAGAAATAAACATTAAAAATTAAAAAACCCAAAATGAAATATTTTTTAATGTTTTTATTTTTAATTTTTTAAACGTTTATTTATTTTGAGAGAGAGAGAGAGCACGTGCGAGCAGGAGAGGGAGAGAGGGAGACAGAATCTGAAGCAGGCTCCAGGCTCCAAGCTGTCAGCACAGAGCTCAACATGGGGCTTGAGCTCCAGAGCCATGAGATCATAACCTGAGCCGAAGTCGGACACTCAACTGACTGAGCCACCCAGGCGCCCCATGTTTTTATTTACTTTTGAGAGACAGTGAGAGAGTGTGAGCGGGAGAAGGGTCAGAGAGAGGGAGACACAGAATCTGAAGCAGGCTTTAGGCTCTGAGCTGTCAGCACGAGCCTGATGTGGGCTACAACTCATGAACCACGAGATCATGACCTGAGCCGAAGTCAGACGCTTAACCGACTGAGCTATGTAGGCGCCCCCAGAAAATCAATTTAAATTAGAGTTTTTTTTGAGGACAGTGGTGAGCCTTTGGAAAGTTTTAAGTAAGGGAATGACTTAACATTTGTAGTTTGGGTTGGCTTGGGAGAAAAGATTAGAGGCAGGCCCAGTGGTCAAGTCTCATTTGGGTGAGATACAAGATTAGGGTTGGGCAGTGCAGAAGAGAGAGAGGACAGATTATGGTCTAAGACACAGTTAATAAGACTTGGTGTCAGTATTGAGTATCAAAGATAATGAGTTGGGGTGGGGTGGTTGCTTGGCTGAATCAGTGGGTAGAATGTGCAACTCTCGATCTTGGGGTTATAATTTTTGAGTCCATGCTGGGTGTAGGGATTACTTAAAGCTAAAATCCTAAAAATAAAAAAAAAAGATGACAAGG